GAGAAAAGAAATCAACGTGGAGAAAATGGATTGAACTTGAATGCGAGTTTCCTTGGTTAAAGTTCCGCCTTCTGAACGCAATTCCAACGAACGACATGTTTTCGGGTTTTTCGAAACTGGTTTAATCTGATGTCGACTCTCAAACCATACAATAACGTAACTCAAAAGTTGTTCATATTGGAGCTCCTTGATCCATTCCGCATATTTATAACATGTATGTCCTTTCAGCCATGGCTTAATAGTTGATACATCCTTCACTAGTGAGTTTTTTATTTCGGCGGGAAGACTTTTGATCAATGTTTCTACTAGTTTAATTGGATTACGAGCAATTGTAAATGGAGACTGCCATAAAAACGGTAGCGCCGCAAAGGCCCATGAATGATTTACATATATACAATTGTTTGGAAAGTCTATATCTTTAAATATTTGAGTTAATGTTTCATTTGGCAAAACTTTTGCACTCCATCCTAATTTTAGTTGAACATCTCTACTAAATAAAATACGAGATAAGAACTTTAAGTTTGTATTTAAAAAAAAATATCTAGATTTCTAACGTTATATCTTGAATAATCACCCCCTTAATAAATATTTTCCTTGTTTATTCATAACTTGAAATTTTTAGTCGAGTTATCAGAAAAAGTAGAAAACGAAAAGGTATCCCATGCCTAGCAGATTAAAAAGGTAACAAAGTTTTTAATGACATAGAAACCAAGAATAGTGATCGTTTTTAATTAATCCGATAAATAAAAAATGAGATCAATTCGAACATTACTCACACTTCCTACTGGTGCTGTATTATGATAAAATGAATAATTTTTTCCCAAGGTTGTAAAAAATATGTTTAATAAGTCATCGATATTTAATCATAAGCATAAAATATAATAATAATAATAATTATAATTATAAAATTTTAACAAAAAATTGGGAATAAATCAATAAGATATTTTATTTCAATACCTTTATAAAATAAATCATTAAAATGGGTAAAAAAATAGCACTTCAATTATGAATTCACAGACTGCTCAATGAAAATTGGACGATTTAGTGATTATTTCGGAACGATTTTTTTGATCGCTCCGTTTATTTATATATAAAGATTTGCGAAAAATTAGCCAACAATACATAAGTTACTGGATGGTTGTCCATTAATCATTTATTTATATATACATAAGTTTTGCTTTCGGGAAAGTCTAACAGGTGCCTTACGTACGTTTATGCACTACGTAAAGTTGTTAACTTTTTTCTTTATTCAAGTATAATAACGATAATATTGGCGGAATCCTGCTGATAAATATATGGGAAAATCAACAAATTTGATTGGATTCAGGTCGGCTATCAGATATGACAGATCCGCAAATAATAATGTTACGATTGAAAATGTTCCTAATTGGGGTTCATTTTTACTTACATTTAGCGTCAGGTTTCATTCTTGGATTTTATAGTTATAGCATGTGACTCTAATCGCAATTGTCCCTATTATTATGATGTAAATGTATAACAATAACGTAACAATTTGCTCACCAATTTGCTAATTATGAAATGTTATCTTTATGCGAGTGGGTAGATTTCCTTTTGAACTTTTTTATAAAACAAAACATTAGTACATACAATGTTTTATATTATTAATATGTTCGTAGTTTTTTGTACGATTTTAGTAAGGTGATTAGTGTTCTGAATTAAAAAACGTTACTCATTTTCAGCTTGTGTATCTATTTTTGTATCATTAACATTAGGACAGGAGTGTAAATTTAATACATTTACCCGGAATCACAAGGCGGTAGATTATTGTGAGCTACTGGACTAGAGATCGCATTTTTAACCATACAATGGTGCACGTAATTTTCATGGTTAAATGATCCGCATTCAGCATAATTATCCGCAATTCGAAATAATCATGAAACTCCGAACTTAACACACTATGTGCACACTATTTTCACACTATGCGCACGCATGATTGCACGCATGTATGAGCACCATGTGCATGGTTCCCATCTCTACACTGGACTTTCTAGTAGGTCATACGTAGTATTTGAATAATCTGACAATCTACCAATTTGTTCTTTGCCCATCAAACCACCTTTTGCATCCCAATAAAAATAACTTCTCGTGTAAAATTTTAATTTTATCTTGATCTTGGTTAATTTCAATTTGAACCAATGGTCATTATTATTAGTGTTAATTCGATTATTTTTTCACTTAATATTAACATAGAAAAACTTTGTAATTTTTGCAATACATATTATGACATCAGGAAATTTTTCAATAAGATGCATCTGCAGAGGTAATTGGCATCGATTTATATCGATTATAATCGATTGTAATCATTCAAATCTAAATGATTGCATCGATATAAATCGATGCTAATCGATTACAATCATTTAGATTTGAATGATTACAATCGATTATAATCGATATAAATCGATGCCAATCACCCCTACAGATGGTAATCGATATGCACCTTATTTAAAAATTTCCTGATGCATATTAGGGTTTATATACTGTATTTTTTAATCTATTTCTTTAGCTAAAATTTTCATACTAACAATAATATTTATATTTAATATAAATATTAAAAGTTTATACTTAATATAAGAATTTAATATTATTTAATTTATTTAAAAAACTACTTTTATACTTCTTTTTTTGATATTTATATGCTTATCTAGATTGTTCTTTTTTCTACTTTTATTGAAGTTATCTTTATAACTGTATTTAATAAAAAATTTTTGTTTGAATTTTATGGGTTATAAAAAAAAAAAAAATCAAAATTTATCAAGTATATAGTTATTTTTATAAAGATTGTCAAGAAAATTTCTACAGACATTATTAAATTACCCGGTTATCCGGGTAATTTTAAACAAAGGAACTCACTCTTGGGCATGTCTAAAAATTCCCCAACCCTATCGTTATTTGATTAAATCAAAAAATTTGGATGAACTTTGACATAGGTGAACAAATATAATAACAATCTAAATATAATATATAGCTAATTTAAACCAATTAAATTATTCGTTATTAATAGATTAATTATATTTATACAATTATTATATTTATCCATCTACGTATACTAAAGTTCATCCAAAAGTTGTTTATTTTTTTGCCCAATTTTACTACAAGGCATATGAAGTCAATCGTTTGTTTCTCATCACTTGGCTGGGTCAGTTTTTGGAAATCTTTGGAAAAAGCTTATTATCGATAATAAACAGAATCAGGACAGTCCTGGATGAGAATTTTGTAATTTTGGCCCGAATTATACTAGCCAAAATTAAAAAATTTTTATTATAAACCCCAATTCTAACTCTAACACTATCTCTAAAGACTTAATTCTGCCAAAACAATTCACAAGATTCCCATCCGGGGCAGCCCGATTCTGGATCGGGACGATTCCAATCTGGGGTACGACATATATATATATATACTTATATATGGGGGGTGAGTTAGTAGAAATCAATTTGTTTTATTAAAACTTTAAACAAAAACTTGATCAATTTAATAAAAATTTGTTAAATTACTTTATAAGTTTTTATTAAATTTGATTGAGTTTTTGTTGAGTTATTGTTTAAAGTTTTAAAAAAATTTACTTTGAAAAATTTGCTTGGTTTCTACTGACTCAACCCCACATATATATATATATACATATATATATATATCAGATATATCAATATAAAATTAAAAAATTAAAATTTAGGTTTCCAGGTCTTCAAACCTATGTCGATTTATTTGAATTAATTTTGTATGGCCTATCCTTAATGTTTAATCCAAGCTTAAACGAGATTAAGGAATTTTGTAAATATCACGTGAACGTTAAAAATTTTACGGCGTTCTTGGCGAAACCTTATCTCAATTTTTTTTTTTAAATAAAAATTTTATATGAATATAATTTGTCGGCCACTTATAACCGTCTTTTGCTCTTACCATTAATGTTAATGGTTGTTTATCGTTATCGTAATGCGCCAAATCACACATAATCCAGTTTAAATGTAGACAATCTGTCCACATGTCAGATTTGTGCATTTATTTTTTTTTTTAACACAATCATGATCCGTAAACTTGCAAATGTCTATAGTTTTAGAGCAGGACATGCTTATAATAAGTTATCATCTGGTCATGGTACT